GTAATTTAATTTTTTTTTTTCATGTATATTTAATAATAATTTTTAAAAGTTGTTTTAAATGGTTTGATTTTTTTAGTAATTTCATAATTTAATTGAAAAATAGCAAAATAAAACTTGTAAAATTTTTCATTTAAACAATTTTAAAAATATATCATCTTCTAATAAATAATCCCTTAATTATAATAAAAATTTTCTATTCTTTTAAGAACACAACAAAATTTATTATAAATGCTTTTCTGATGCAATTCCAAAAACAAAATGATTTTTTAAATGATTCATTTTACTGTTTTGTTTTTGCAAGTATCTCTAATGTTCATACTGACAATATTCTTGCTATTACTTTTTTTCTTCCTGTTAATCTATATAAATCTCCCATGTGTAAAAATTTTATCACAACAGAGTTAACCACATTGTTTTACATATCCCACATATAACCTATTTTGTATAATCTTTTGTTGAACCTATATAGATTTTATCTTTCATAAACTATTGGAGTGGCTTCTTCTTCTGTTTGTGTGTGTGTGTGTGTGTGTGTGTGTGTGTGTATATATATATATGTATATATATATATATATGTATATATATATATATATATATATATATATATATATATATATATATATATATATATATATATATAATATATATATATATATGTATATATAGATATATAAGGCAAGAAAGGCACGCTTTGTTTGTCCATGCATAGAATAAATTTTTCTGACTAACTGACCACGTTTTATTATTATGCGTTTCAAGAATTCGCGCCAAAACAAAGCTAAACGAAAGTACCGCAAAAATGCAAGCAATCTTAAAGTAAATAAAAGAAATCTGTTTGTGCTTTTAAATTTAAAAATTAATGTATATTATTAAAAAAAAAAAATTACTTATATTTTATTTATTTATTTTTTTTTTGTTTTTTAGGGCGGTAGTTATTTTAGCTATGAAAAATCAAATCAATAAAAAAAATCAAATCAATAAGAAAAATTAAATCAAAAAGAAAAAGATTATTGTTTAATGAAAATAAAAGGACCTTTTAATGTAAAATTTGTTTATGACTTTTATCAGTCAGTAATACTTTAAAATTCACGATAGAACTTTAATTAATTTTTAAATGTTTCATTAATACATTTAAATGTTTAAATGTAATGATACGCAAGAAAGCGCGAAAACGATTGCTATTTATTTGTAAAATATGTTTTTTTTTCAATTTTCAAATGAAAGAAAATTTTATTGTCAAACGATTGGGTTGCTTATTTTGCAATCATTAATTGACATTGTGAACGAGTGTTAATATATAATAATGTCCTGAAGGAACTGTTTTCGTAACAATTACAACAGAAGCAATGCAATTATTTTTTTAACTTCTTTCGTTATTACAAAATTATGCAATTGAATAATTTCAATGTAATAAAAGGCGAGCATTGACTCAGTATAATTAGTTTAGAATAAGTCGAGAGAGAACTTTTTTCACATTAAAATTTTGTTATCTTTAAAATCTTAAATAATATATTTAATAATTAAAACAGCAATCTATTTTCTTGTCTAAGTATTGGGGAATAACGTCATCGCCTTTGCATAAACCTTCGTAAAAACAAAACTAAATGAAAAAATTTAATCAAATTTGTCTAGAGTAAATAATGAATCAATTTTTTAATACATTGTTTGATAAAGTTAGAGATTAAATTACGTATCAAGTCTTTTTATTTTCGTGAAACTTTATGACTTATTGTCGTCTTTTCTTTGACTTGTATCAAATTTCGTAGCTGAAAATAGCAACCCTAAAAAAAGAAAACAAAAACAGTATAAAAATTTTGAAAAAAATGTTCAGAACTTTTTTTTTTTTGTTACAATATTTTTTTTTATTTTTTATTTTTTTTTTATTATCAAAATATTTTTCTTACATCCAATTTCAATTTTATACCTTGTTTAGACTTTGTTTCCTTTTTTGTTAATATTATTTTTTATTCTCTGTGGATAAGTTCAGCTTTCCCACGAAATATTGCAGCGATCACGTTTTCTGAAAAATTTATTCTATGCGTGGACAAACAAGGCGTGCTACCGCAGGCCTTTCCTGGGAAAGCCTGATATATATATATATATATATATATATACATATATATATATATATATATATATATATATATATATATATATATATATATATAATATATATATATATATATATATATATATATATTTATATATATATGTGTATATATGTTGAACAAACATGTTGAAGTATCAAATTTAATTGTAGTTACTTTTTTTATGTTAGTTTTAGTATTTTGTAAGGTTCTTGACTTTTTCACAGTATTGTGAAAAAGTTAAGAAACACTAAAAAAAAAAATTTTTTTCAAATAGATATAATCAGTTTTTATTCTAATGGTAATAAAATAGTCATTTTTACAATCTTTTTATTTTTTCTAAATAGTTAGAATATGAGAAAAAAGAAGACTTTTTTTTTTGGAAATTAATTAATTGAACCTATAAAAATAAGGATTAAATATTGTGTTAATTTTTTTAATTATTTTTTTTGTGAAAAAGTTAAGAACTACAAAAAAATTTTAATGTGTTAAACATTGCTATTTTTAAATTTGCAGAATTGCTATTTTTAAATTTGTTTTTACCTTTTTTGTTTAAATATTCTATTTATGACCTGAGTCATTACCAAAAATCCAAAAAAATATATTTTATTTAACAGGCTTGGTTGGGAAGCGGGAGCGATCACTCTCGATTACTGACCACAGAAATAATGTTTAGTTGGGAAAAACTGGCTAGATTTTTTAGTCGCTTTGAGAACATTTCAAAAAGCAAAAAAAAAAAACACAAAAGATTAATTAGACCGATGAGAGACAATTCCAAAAATATAAAAAGTTAGGAAAATAAAATATCTTTTAACGCAAAAAAACTTAGAGCAAAATGAGTTACGTTTTGATCAAATATTTTCAAAACATTGCTCTTTTATAATTTTTTATATAAAATAACATCTTACAATTGTTTAAAAAGGAAACAAATGTTCTTTATTTAACACGGAGTAATATAATTTTTATTTATATACTCGTTTCCAGTGCTAGATTAAGGAGGGTTGGGGTTAGAGGTGGCTATAGCCCCGGGCCCCGCAATGTTAGGGCTACAAAAACTTCAAAAAGACCTTTTTGTTTAGTCATTTTTACGCTGTGGCACATACAAAGGCACCCAAAATAAAAATAGCCCCTGGCTCCAAAAAGTCTAACAAGATTCTAATAAAACTAATGCAAGTTTTAGTTTTATCTAAGCTAAATTATTTTAAAAATAAAAAAGTTAATTTTTAATACCTATTTTTTGCTTCGAGTAGTTTGAAAAGTTTAACATATTTGAAACAATTCTTAGTAAGATAAACAAATGAAATAATTAAATCATTCAATTACTATAGAACTTAAATTAACTAGATAAAAATCAACTAAAAAGGTTAAAAATACTTTATGACGGGGAAGCTAAACTGCTTCACATATCGCTGAGTTAGTGAGTGGGCTTTTTAATTTTAATTAGTATTTAAAGCAGAAAAAAGTATAACGAGTTTTTAAGAATGGCAACTGAAGCGAAATTTAATTAGAGTTAGTAAACCAATATCTAGAAACTTTTCTTTATATTTAATAACTATATATATTTATATATTTGCTATTTATATATTTATATATTTGCTATATATATTTGTATATATGCTATGTATATTTATATATTTATATATTTGCTATATATATTTGTGTTCTGTCGTGACCTCAGGCGCTGTGCTTGGTCATCATTCGAGTTACTTTGCATGCATTGTTTGTGTTTAGTAACCAGAAACTTCTTATATGTTTGTTACATAATTAGTTTTATTAACTTTGATGATTATTAATAACTTCATTGAAAATGCAATTGTTTTTATAAGTCTTTGTTTACAAATTAAATCTTAAAAATTGCTTTACAAGATTACATTACATTATTTTTCAAGCGATATTTATCACAAATACTTTTTTGTGACATTCCAATTACGTAATCGCCAATAGTTTTCTTTCTTAGTTCCAATCCATGACTGTCGGGAGCCATTTTCGCACTTTAAGTCAAAAAAATAATAAAAATAAATAATCACGCTTCTCAAGGCTTACTGTGTTACATTTGCACTGTGATGATACAATAATGCTCTGTGGAACACAACGTCTTGGTTGGATGTGGACTGTATTGATGTAATGAAACACTTGTTGTATTTCACTTTTTGTATTGATGTTCTTCGATAAAACACTTTGATAAAACTCACTTTGATAAACTGTCTTGATAATATTGACTTCCATATATTGACTGAATTACATGTCGGTTTACACGTCTCTTATATAGTAAAATGAACCTGTGTGAATCTGTTCTGGAAGATTCTAGATGCTACTTTTCGATGCTTCTGGAAGCTTCTGGAAGCTTCTGGATGCGTCTGGATGCTTCTGAATGTTTCTGGATACTTCTGGATGCTTTTGGATGCTTCCAGATGCTTCTTCTGGAAACTTCTGGAAGCTTCTGCATGCTTCTGGAAACTTCTGGATACTTCCTTTAATTTTTTTAAGACATGTAAAATTAGGAACACTTTTTATCATTGTTCAATGATGGTTGCAAATGTTTTGTCCAATACTAATATATATATATATATACAGGGCGCTAAAAATCGACGAACGTGTGAACGTCTGCACAAAAAAAGACAGCAAAACAAACGTCACATTCCTTTACTTTTCCTAACGCAAATGTTGGCGTTCGCCTAAAATTTTTCAAAATGAACGCGTTACTATAGCAATTTTTTTTTTCCAAACATTTAACTATTGATCATTTTTTACTTGTTATAAAAAACCCAAAAAAACAATCAATTACAAAAATTTTAAACGCATTTTCAAAGACTTTAAAAGAAACCACGTTAAAGTTACTTTCTTCAATGGAATGAAGAAAGTAGTTAGTTTGAGCATGGTTTTTGCATGCGTTTAAAAAAGCATTTAAAATTT